GGGGCCTCAGCAAAGTTACCAGAACGTGACTGTCATATTTGCTGTTCTACCCACTTGCCATGTGACATTGGGAGAGTGGAGTATCATCTCTGGGCCTCAGTGGCCCAAGCTGTAACATGGAGATGCTCAGAAAGAATCCCTGTCCTTTAACCCCATTTCTCCACTGTCAGTATAGACTTCTCTTAGGAAAAGCTCAGACTGGCAATTGTACACCTTGAGTACACCTTTGAAACAATTTAGTCCAACCGCCTCATCTGACAGCTGTGGAAGCTGATGTGCCCAACCACCACCCCAAGTAAACCACACCTATGGGAGACCAGAACCAGACTTTCCTCCCTCTTGTGTCACTATCTTGTCCCAATACGTCATGAACACCCTCTCCTCCACGGTCAAGTTGGTCAACTGCTTTCATCCTACGTGGCAGAAGCCAAGATATCACACAACCACAGTATCTAACCTGCCTCCCTGCTGCACACTGATTTCCTTTAGTAAAGTTTGTTTAAACACATGAAGTTTGGAAGGATTTCCCCACAGTAATTCTGGAATGCTAAATACATGACAGACCAATCTTCTGTTTTCATGAAGGACTCTGAAGCAGAAACACTAAATGGAACAGCCAAATTCATGTCCCATTCATTGCCTTTCCCTAGATTCAAAACCACAGTCCTTAAAGAATAAGATAAAATAAAAAGCACTCTGATAGTGCTATTCAAATGTGATGTGGGGCTGCTGTAGGCCATGAAAGTATCTGTTACCCATCAGCTACAGCAGGGTGGGAGATGGTCGGCATTCAGTAACCTTTAGAGCAGTTCACGTTTTGCCATAACATTGAAGTGAGCGGAGTCTTCTCGCTGAACAGAGTTTATACTAGTTCAGATGATGAACTCAAGTAGAGTCTAACGTGAACTCTGCTATAGTCCTACTAAAACATGACCGTCTGTCAGCTCACAATGAATTTGAACAACAGAATATATTGGCCCCATAGCAAAGACAATTTTGACGAGCCCTGTGCTGTTCATATTTATTGAAAGAGAAAATTTCATCCTTCAGAAAACTGTGGTTTTATAATTAAATTATGATGGGGATGATGAACTCAAGGAACTTTAAAAGCCAGATGAATACTGTAAATGAGTGAACAGGGTCATATATGAGATCCAGCAAGGAAGGGTGAGCACTGAGACAAAACAGACCCAGGATGAATGGGACAGCAGCCAGTCAGCTTCTCATGACATACACATGTATGCCCAAACATTGTGATTTCACCAGAGGAGTCAGCAATGGAAGTTTTCAGGTTAAAAGTTCTTGATTTTTAAATGCTGGGAGCTGATTGATTTTCCTTTGAAAGCGTCATTATAGGCCTAATGATCCCATCTGCCCACCTCCATTATGTCAGTGAGCAGTCACTTTGTAATTTGTTCTTTAGGCAAATGATTTATTGATATTTATAGTCTTCTCATTCTTGAATCTTATTTTGGGGCTCCAAAGGCTCTTTCTAAATAGTTAGGTGGTCTCCCTCTGACCACTTCCTATAGGATTTGTCAGATTCAGGGACTAAGGGAGCCTGGGCCTTCAAATGCCACGATTATCAAAGGTTGTTCTCAGTAAGAGGCCAGCCTAGTGTCCAGGCCTTGTGCTCCTGCCAATCCCAAGCCTACATGACCCTCCCCAAGGCCATACAACCCTCCAGGTTCCCCTCAGGCTTGGTTTCTGGGCTCATTTCTTCTCACACATTATGTTTTCTGCTGTGGTAACCTGTGTCTGACCCCAGCCTGTCCCGATACTGCCTTTGATCACAGACTTGGTTTGGCAGCCACATCCTTCCCAGACCATCCCCACTCACTCCAGCTTTCGCTGTCCACTCCCAACAGGGCACTAGTCATCAATGGTGTCCTCTCTCCAGGGCCTGAGCTAGAGTTAATCATTCCTCACCATCCCCCACCTCCCACTTTGTGGAAATGCACAAAAGGCCTAAACTCAGGTGGCTCATTCTTTACCAAGGGCAGTGATTGTCAGTCTCTGCCCGCCTTCCTCCCCCAGTGTAGGATTCCTGTGCCCATGTAGGAGGGGGACATGGCAGGGTGCTGCATTTACACCCATGCTCTACTGATCATGGCCTCCATGTTTCCTGGGAAACCCACAAGCACAGCAGAAGCATAGCTCTTAAAGGGACGGTGGCACTGCCCTGCCCAGTTCTCCCATGCCCTCGTGACTGCAGAGGGCTCGCCAACATAAAGTCACTAAGGCTCAAACTCTAAACTCTACCTCGGACATCAGATAGTCTGAGTGAGCCCGAGAAGACTGGCTCCCTACAGGTGTCACAGGGACCATTAGTGTCCACTACTGCACGGACCGTGAGGTGACGGCCTGACCACACAGGTCTGCTACACTGACATAACTTATGCACGTACTCTCACATCTCTGGCCTTTAATGAATTCCTCCTTAGCTGTGCCTTCTGGTAAAGGTCCCAGGAGACTATTTTGTGCCAAAACAAGGCACTGCCAAAAGCCAAAACCAACAGCTTCTAAAAATCAGCTACGTAACCAACATACCAAGATCTTAGCATAACGATTGACTCCCTAGCATCACTCACCCTGGAGGCACTCCCTGTTGACTGAAAGACACCAAATACAAGAAACCATGCCCGGGGTGCAAAGATGCGCCCCTTCAGGGATGGGGTGACGATGCTGGTGCTATCCTGTGATCCTCCTGGGAAGGAGACTCACCTGCAGCTGCTGGGAGAGGCCTGCTGGCTACTCGGATGAACAGAGGAGTAACCGTTGAACTTGGCTAAGGCTAGGAGGGCGTTCTGGCTCTCCATAACATACCATAACTTTGTGGGGTGGACGTCTTGACAGTGAGGTTTCTGAAAATATGGGGCTGAATGGCATTAGGGAGCAAGAAAAGTTCCTTGGATTTCTACAAGCACATATCTTGATGACCTCTAAACACAACTGGCATGCTGTTAGTGTCAGGACATGCCTGTGAAGTAGACAAAGGCAAAGCCAGCTCCACACTTTGACAGATGGTGGAAGGAGGCAGAGGGAGGGTGAGGAGTGAGACATGCAGCTATTAAGAAATCTTTGAATTGGCTGTTTCAGGACAGAGTAGTATATATGTACGTATGTATGTGTGTGTATGTATGTATGCATATATATATGTGTGTGTGTGTGTGTATATATATATCCACTTAATTTACCAGTGTCCACTGTAAGGGCCTGCCCCTCCCAGAGTAACTAGCTTGTGGACCCCGGAAGTAGGGGCGGGGCAGGCCAGGTGAAGACGTCCAATCGGTGTCGCATGGGTATATCCACTGGGTGAATTAGGATTCAATTGGCTACCTGTGTAGGGGCGGGGCTCAACCACCCCCAGAAAGGTTGGTCTGCAAGGCTGGTGAGGGGAGAGGAAGGAGAGCTGTCAGAAGAAGAAGAAGGAAGGAGCAGCTGAGAAGAGTCGGCGGGAGCAGAATAAAGAGAGCTGTGACAGCTCTTGTAAGAGCTGTGAGAGTGTGACAGCTCTTGTCAGAGCTAGACCCGCCATTGCACCGGAGCCGCCAGCAGCCCCGCCCACGCCACGGCTTCTGCAGCGGCGCCACGAGGAGCAGCGGAGCCACCTGCAGCGGACCCGCCGTTGCACCCGAGACGCCAGCGGTCCCGACGCCAGCTGATCCAGCACGCCAGCGGTCCAGCGGTCCCAGCACTCCAGCAGCAGCCGAGACGCCCGCGGTCCCGACACCAGCGGCCCCGCTGACACACAGCGGGGAACGGCCTAGACGCCAGCAACCTTGCTGCGAACGGCCTCGCTGCCAGGAGCGGCCTTGATACCCTGAGCCACAGCCTCACTGGAGCTGCGCCATTCCGGGGAGCGGCTTCATCTGGAAAGAGGCTTCCTCGGTGAGCAGCCCTGTGGGAGGCAGCATCGTCAGGAAAGAAGCTTCCTCCACAGTGGCCTCTTTTTATGAGCAGCCGTTCCAGGGAGCAGCCCTGAGGAGCAACCTCATCAGCTGCGGCCTCGTCCTGGGACTGGCCTCGTCCTGGGACTGGCCTCGTCCAGAGTGGCCTCATCTACAGAAAGGCCTAATCCAGAGCAGCCACGTTGGGAGCGGACTTACCGGGATCTTCGTCGTCACCTTTTCATAAGAGACAGCCCTGACAGGTCAGTTTGATTTTGATGCTTGGTGTGAAATAAAGCTTTGTTTGATTTTTGCTTTAATCAGTCTCATTCTTTGATCACAGACCCTAACATCCACAAGAGAGGAAAGAAGGATATACTCCACAGAGCATCACAGCACTAATAATCTGTGTCTCAAGTCCTTTTCTGGAATGAGGCCGGGTCTAAATGAATGAAATCAACCTGAGCATGTCTCCTTTTCATATGCCTCTTCACGGTTTCCCATCGCTCCTCCGTCTTCATGGAAAGCCCCTGTCCCATTAGGTTCACGCCAACTGCTACGCCACCCTCTCCACCCACCCCCACCGCCATCTTCTCCTGACTTCCACAGCTTCCCCCCATCACGAAGAAAGCCTTCAGCCCCTCCCTGGTTACCACCATTGTTCTGGGAATTCAACATGCCCAGGAGCACCCCCCAGCTCCCCAGCCAACCTCCTGGCCTCCCAGGCATTGACTTGCTCAGAGCCAGGGAGGAAGTCTTTCCCCCACAACCAGCTACTCCCTCCACGGCCACACACCACCCCCACCCGCAAACACTGTCCCCAGTAAACTGCTCCCTGAAATACCCAACTCCAGCATCCCACACTGACCACCCTTCCACCCTCCATTCCCTGTGGGAGATTTCCTTCCCCACAACCGGCCACTCCGGCCATGGCCACTCCCCGTGCTGTCCCCAGAGAAACCGCTCCCTGAAACACCAGATTCCAGCTTCCCACACTGACCGCCCCTTCCACCCTCCACTCCCCATGGGAGATCTCCTCCTGGACATCCCACAGACACCACCCACTCAGGAGCACAGAAACAGACACCAGTCAGAAAAATTGCACTGGATCTTAAATCCTTTAACATCATTTACTGATGACAGAAGCCAGGCTTCCTCAGCTATGAGAAGACTTGGCTTGGACTGAGGCTGTGAGGACTGCCACAAGTCTCCAGGAACTCAGGATTTAGCCGTTCCTTCTGGATCCAGGCATCTCATCGAACAGTGTGAAGGCTGTATCCTTCAAGCGTGGATGGGGGTCTCCACCGCTGTCCACTGCTCTCTCCACATCTTGTGGGGCAGTCAGCATGTTGTTGTTGGCCTCAGTGCCCACCAGGTCCAGAATGTAGTCAGTGAGGTAGTCAAGCATGGCAAGGAGGAAGTCAGTTGTGGATGAACTCAGACGATGTGTGTATTGGTCCTCCTGCAGGAGGCGGTCCACGTAGCTCACAGGGAACCGGAGCTCAGTTGTTATAAGATGGGCTTGAGTCTGATGGGAGCTTTCATGGTTTTTCTTTCCTGACATGATGTTGGCTGGGTTGGGCTCCAATCAGCTCTACTTGATTGTTCAGCTGGACTAGGCCTCTCAAGACACCAGCAGTCACATCCGCCCACTATATCCCCATGCTCTGGCCCCTCATTGGTCAGGGAGATGCCTTTGTGACATCCTAGAGATTGAGATGTCATCAGTACCCATTGTGGCCTTATCAGGCCTCAGCCCAGAAATGTCCATGACAGGAAACTGGTCACCCTAATGACTGGATCCTGATTTTAAGAAAATGGACATTTTCTGCTTGATTTTAACATTGTACAGATAAATACATATTTCAGTGGAAAACTCTTCCCTGTCTTAGGACACCATTCCACATGATCTGATTCTAGCCTTTTAGGGTCTTTGAGGTCTTTTACAATCCTTTGTTAGTTGCAGTTTCGTAATAAATATGTAAAATGTTTTGGCTAGTAGAGACTGTATTGTTCCCCCCACATGATGGAATGAAACCAGTTTCGCCTCCATTTACACATTCGTTTAAATATTCTTGATTAATATCCCTGTATCTAATCCTTGGATTCTCTCTGAACCAGTCAGAGCATCTTCCCATTCCCTCACCGATTAAAAAGAATCTTTTAACACACATTTATTTCATACCTGTTTTAAGTGTCTTCATTTGACACTGTTTGAAAAATATCTCTTGATCATTTTGGAAGTCATAATGAGATGCACCATGGAGTCATCTATCAGCATCAGGTAAACATTGTTGAGAGAGAGAAGTTTACCTTGGGCTTAGTTTAATACTAGTCATGACTTCTTGACTGTCTTAGGTGAAGCCAAAGCACCGAGAGATGTTTCCTCTCATTTTTTCCTCAGTTTTTAAAGATGTTATTTATTTATTTGAGAAAGAGAAACAGAGAGAGAGCGTGAGCAGGGGGAGGGGCCAAAGGGGAGGGACAAGCAGACAACCCACTGAGCACAGAGCCTCTTGCCAGGCTCAATCCCAGGACCTGGAGATCACAACCTGAGCCAAAGTCAGATACTTAACTGAGTGAGCCACCCAGGCACCCCCTCATTCTTTTCTCATTTTAGTTTTCCTCTCCGCTGAGTTTGTGTTTCTGCCTTATTTTTGGTTCATTTACAGCTGATAACAGACATTTCCAATCCAAAAAGAGAGTAGAAGGAAGCAAGGAGTCTCTGATCCAAGGAAGCTGATCAGGCAGGGACACCTACAGACATAGATACGTTTCAAGGTCTGGGAATAACTGTGGCTCCTCCCTCTGACCTTCGTCTTTAGCTCTGCCCTCTAGCGCCTGGGCTCTGTCCTCAAAATTATCCTCCCTTTATTCTGAGTGCAACACATGTTTGTAGCTAAGTAATTCTATTGGCTTCTTTCCCTCTGGGCGAATCTTGGGAGTTCCATGGCTGCCTTTCATCTATCCTCCCAGTTAAAGATGGCATTGTTTGTGCTGACTTAACATAATCAGAAATTGTGTAGTCACCCTGTACGTCATGGGGATTCACGCCCATAGACGAGACGTGTTCATAGATTCCCGCCAGGAAAATGCCATCTCAGCTCCTTGCTTCTGTTGAGGTGGCTGAGGTTATCCATGCTTCACACCCCATGTCACTTCAAAGAACCCTCCATTTGAATACTTTGATCTGATCCCTCAGAGAAAAGATGTGTCTAGCTACAAGCTCGATTTTTATCTCCACAGGATGCTTTCTTAACAGCAAATCCTCTCATTTTACTGTCTTTTGCAGTCTAGATGGGCTGAGAATGGCTCCTGTCTTCAAGTCCTGGTTCTTTTTTGCTTAACAGCTGTTCCCTCAATTTACTTTCCTCTAGCATTTTCCTCTAAGTAGCAAGAAGAAACAAGGACAGGCCTTCGAATCTGCTCAACCAAATCTTTGATTCACTGTTCATCAGTTCTGCTTTCTGTGTAATTGTAGGACAAAATTCAGCCAAGATTTCCGTCACCATATAACAAGAATCCCCTCTTCTGGGGCGCCTGGGTGGCTCAGTGGGTTAAAGCCTCTGCCTTCAGCTCAGGTCATGATCTCAGGGTCCTGGGATCAAGCCCCACATCGGGCTCTCCGCTCAGCGGGGAGCCTGCTTCCCCCCTCTCTCCTCCTCTCTCTGCCTGCCTTTCTGTCTTCTTGTGATTTCTGTCTGTTAAATAAATAAATAAAATATTAAAATAAATATATGTATGTGTGTGTGTGTGTGTGTATATATATATATATATATAGAGAGAGAGAGAGAGAGAGAGAGAGAGAGAATGGCCCAGGCCAGGGTTGACAAACATTAATTTAAAAAAAAAAATCCCCTTTTCTCTAGCTTCCAGTATGATGTTCCCACTTTCTTTCTAAATCTTTACCAGCAACACCTCTGACATTCATATTTCCATCAGCAGGTTGCTTATGGTGTCTTAGATCTTCTTTAAGACAATGTAGGTTTTCTCCACTGTGCTCTTTACTTCCCTTTGAGTTCCCACCAGCAGCATTTTTAACATCCATATTTCTACTAACTGTTCAAGGTAATCTAGCATTTTCTATCATGCTTCTCAAAATTATTCCAGCCTAAAGCCATTATCCAAGTCCAAAGCTGCTTCCACATTTTTAGACACTCATTACAGCAGTAAACTACTTCCTTGTGCCAAAATCTGTATCAGATTCCTATGACCACTAATGAATTGCTACAGATTTGGTGGCTTAAAAGAATACATATTTAGTCTCCAACTGCTCTGGAGGGAAGAAGTCAGAAACAATGTTACTAGACCGAAAACATGTTGCCAACAATGCTATGCTCCCTCTGGAGGCTATAGGGGAAAATCTGTTTCTTGGACTTTTCCAGCTCCCAGAGCCACATTCCTTGCATTTCTTGTCTTTGCCCCCTTCTTTCATCTTCACAGCCAAGAGTGGCATCTTGCCTCAGTGGTCCAATTTCCATTTTCTGTGTCAAATTTCCCTGTCTCCCTCTTACACAGACATGTGAATTTGCACTTAGATTCTATCACATAATACAGAATCATGGTCCATCTCAAGATCCTTATCTTAATCCTATATGTAAATTCCCTTTTGCCATAGAAGGTAACATATGCAAGCTCAAGAGACTTGGATCTGGTTATCTTTGGGGACCAGTTTTCAGCCTACCCTGGGAGGTATTCCCAGGAAACTAACAGGGAAGTGAGGAATTGAGACAGGGAAGGGAAGGAAGCAAACAAAATGTCCACTATTAATCACCTTACTGTCACGGGAGAACTTAAGGGGACACAAGAAGATACACTTTCCAAGGGAAGATACTGCCCCAGCATTCTGGACTGTCATGTTATTGGGCAGTGGGCTCTGAAAACCTAATAAAAGCCCTCACACAAAGAAATGCAGCTCCTGACATTGGAAAGTCAGGCAAATATGCATGCAATGGGCTTGTGATGTGACCATGTGGGGAGGATTCTGGCAGCATCCTCTACATGGTCACGTTCATATACTTTCATTATCAAGTCTTTCTCTTTCATCCTTACCTCCTGCCTGCTCTTCTTTCATTTAACAAATATTTATTGTTCCTCTACCTTATGTCAAGCACTGAGATGCTGGATGTTCAATGTTGAACAAAACACACTATCTTGCCCTTGTGAAGTATCAAGTCTCGTGGAAAAGACAGATAGATACCCAAAGAAATATGTAATTCCAAGTTGTCATGCATGATCTCAAGCAGAGATCATCAACCTCTGCACTATTGGTGTTTTTGGCTGGACCATTATTTCTTGTGGGGCACAAGGGCTGTTCCTGTATATAGCAGGACATTTAGCAATATCCTTGGCCTCTGCCCACTAGATGATAATAGTACACTACTGTCGTAATGCAAAGAAGTATCTCTATACATTATCAAATGTCTCCTAAAGGGCAAAAGTATCCTCAATGAAGAACCACATTACATTAAAAATGTATATTAAAAATAAATTATTCTAAGATACAAGGAGGAGATATAACTTAGATGGAGTAATCAAGGAATATCCTCTAAAGAAGGGACAATGAAACAGAGACCTGGCACAAGAATAGGGAATGAGGCAGAGAAGAGGTGAGAGAATGAACATTTCAGAAAAATGGGAATGGGCTATTTCCTAAACGGGCAGGGTAAGTTGGGGTATGCTAAATAAAATAATGTGATGAAACACGACTGTAGAAAAGAATGGGGGTTAAGATGACCTTGTATCTGCCCATAAACAATGAAAAGTTTGGACTTTAATAGACTCCTTGGAACTTGGATCCATCTCCCACATCTGGATGAAAATTATTTTTGTATCTATTACACAGATGACCTTTAATCAGCACGGAGGTTTGGAGGTGTAGACCCCTTCGCAGTACAAAATCCATGCATAACATTGATTCCCCCCAAATTTGCCAACTAATAGCCTACTGTTGACCGAGAGCTTTCCTGATAACAAAAACAGTTAACACACATTTGTATGTTATATGTATTACATACTCTGTTCTTAAGATAAAGCTAAAGAAAGGTTAAGGAAATCATAAGAGAAAAAATATTTATTGTACTACATTTTTTGAAAATAACTCACATATAAGTGGACTTGCACAATTCAAACCCATGTTGATCAAGAGTCAACTGTATTTTAATTAACCAAGGCTAAAACAGAAAACGGTTCGGAAAGACCGAACAAGTGCAGGATGAATGGTTGTCATACTGTATGGCAGACTTTGCAGAAGTGGCCACAATGATCCCATTCACTGCATTCACTCTGTGTACCACATTTGAAAAAAAGAAAAATGTGACTTTGCAGCCCCTCCAGTCAAGACACGGTGCCTCTATCCCCACTTCTAAAATCTGGACTGGCCATTCCATTTACTTGGGGAAATAAAGTTGCTACGTAAGAGTAGGCAGTAATGGGCCTGGTCCTCAGGAAACTTTGTATTCTTTCATTCTCACTTAAAACAGCTACTTCTGTTTGTCAACAAGCATAAGCTAGCCAGTTCGAGGATGAGAGACCATACTGAGCTGAGTCAAGTGACCCTAGTTGTCCTTTCTAAGGCCTTAGCTGTGTAAGCCCGGCCATGATCCGCCAAGTCAACACATCCCCTTTTTGTGGTATTATTACTATTACACATATTAAAATTATAGCTTCT